GAGCACCGCGCCCTAGCATCAGACACAACTGGACTAAATGTCAAGGAGAACTTTTACCTTTACCTTTATCTGAAACAACTGGAATACAAGCCCTGGTCTTAATGGTGACCGTATTTTGTTACCTCCAATAATTTTTACAAACGTGAACCCACTGAAATTTTATTACTTTACTTTCTTTAAAAAGAACTTTTTTTCGTGCTGTGTTATAAATAGTTGTTGTTTTACCTATACTGCAATTTATTTATTTTTTGTAATTTTATTATTTGTCTTTTTGTCTTACCAGTTAACAAATATCTAAGCTCTGAAAATCCACTGTTCTTTGAATTACGTGCCAGATACCTTATTGCCTGTGAGCGCATCCCAGAGGCAATGGCTCTTATCAAATCTTGCATGAATCATCCTGATATTAGTAAAGACCTTTACTTCCATCAAGCATTTTTCACATGTCTTTATATGTCACCAGTGGAAGACCAACTGTTTCAAGAGGTATTGTTTGTCAGTTTCAATGTCTTGTTTAACAGTGTAGTTTGTTTTGTTTGTGGATAAAGGAAATGGTAGATTTTTAACTTTTAATAGATAATGCAGAAAAAGAGCCATGTTGTTGTTATTTTAGAAAACACTTCCTTGCATGTAAGACCCATGAAATTAATTTGTTTAATTATATGTATCTGTAGTATTCTGTATTGTTTGTATGCTTGAACTGCCCAGAGAGTGTTTTGGACTATGGGGCATATGTAGAGTGAGTGAGTGAGTGAGTGAATGAATAAATGAATGGTGTTCCCAACTATTTGATGAAATATTATCTGTCTAGACTACTCATTTGAATTAACCAAATTTTTCAAGAAACTTGAATTTTCCAGAGACTCTCCTGTTAAGCTATTTGGGCAGCAATTCAATTTTATATAGGACTGAATTAAGCCAAACACATGTAGTGAAAGTGTAAGTTTAATACACTGAATTTTCTCAACGTTGATAGCTGGCCTGTATGTAGAACTAATAAGGTTTTTTAAATTGCTCTGTATAATTACTGGGGATATTTGCAGAACATTTGTCGAAATCAAGTAATTAAATAGGCTACATGTCATGTTCACATAAGCTGTGTGTAAAAACTTGCCAATTAAGGTATTCATTGTAATTTTCTGTGTAATTCTTCTCCTTATGTTTTACAGCAATAAACGCTAGTAACAGTAGAGAATTCCAGTTACTGTTATGCAGTTAGTTTTCTATTACTCCACTTGCCTAAATTGATCTTATTTTGATTGTATAGCATTTGCTGAAAACTGATTGCAAGAATGGCATTGAAATCATCTGCAACATTTCAAAAGAAGGGAAGACTGCCTTAGCTTTATATCTTTGTGAATCATTCCTTATTCCACAGCTCAAAAAAGGAGAGATGTATTGCATCTGGTAAATGCTTTCTTCTGATATTACTTTTTAATAATTAGTAATAATTGCAAATTTCAGGTGCCTGTGGTTTCAAAAAGTAGATGCATAATTTATTTCTGTAACTATAAAAGGTCAGTCTTTTCATCTTCTCACCCCCAGTCTGCGGCCTGATACCAGTCCGTGGGCCACCCCCCCTTGCATGCACGTGCAGGGCGTGTCATGTTCACACGGTGGGGCATGTCACGCTCGTGCGAGGGTGCCCCGCCTCCCCATGCATGGAGCTCGCTCCCCCCAGCTGGTCCGCGGCCCCAAAAAGGTTGGGGACTGCTGTTCTAACTGATGATTGATGTATTTCCCTTTTCTTTTCTGGATCACTGTCAGTTGAATATTTCCTGCATTGTACCGTTTTACTGTATTTGCACTATCTACAAAAACCTATGTTAATGAAAGTCAAATATAAGTAATATTTTACCTTCGTATATACAACAACTTATGTTTGCTTCTGGTTCCAGGAAATAGTTTCTTTTAAGTTCTAGTTGGAAACTAGAATTCTTCCTTGAATAAGAGTTGAAGCGGCTTAATTTGGAGACTCAACTTTAAGAAAAATATTTTGCAGTTATCAGTTTCTGGTCTTTATAGTAACTTCAGTGTGTTGGAACTTGTGCTGTCATAAGCAAATCCTGGAACAATGAAATTTAAACAAGAAGGTTGTACTTTATGATGCTGAAGTAACCTCAGAAGTAGACTTTCTGTATAGATTCTGCTGGCATTATGGGAAATAGTTAAATCTCTACTTTCTATTTTTATACATTACATACACCAGAGTGTATTATAAGCAGAATAGCATGTGCATTTAGATTGTTAGCATAATAACTTTATCATTTTGACACATATAAATGAACTACTTACAAGTATACCATGTGAACTTCATACTGATAAATTATTGTATGTTTTACAGGGAGCTGATCTTTATTTGGAGTAAACTGCAACTTAAATCTAATCCATCAATGCAAGTATTTGTAGATCAGTGCTACCACCTTCTAAGGATAGCTACAAACATAAGGGTTATTTTCCCTTTCATGAAGGTTATTAGGGATGAAGTAAGTAATGCTCTTTTAAATTTTCAGTTATATTATTTCTGTGGTTCATAATGGAACATTGAATTTTAAATGTCATGAGATAATGTTTGTTGGTATTAATTAATTAATTCAAATGTACAGTTCCTCCACTATGTTTTATTTACATTTGCTAGTTGAAAACTTTAGAGCACTTTGGATTTTTCAAAGGATTATTATTAAAGCGTAGTTGTTCAAAAAGAGGATCATTAGTATCAATCTACAAAACAGCAATAACAGAAATTTGATGTTTATAGAACATGCAGTTGCCAACACCATCCTGGGGAGATTGTTTGCAGATTCCCCTTTCACCTGAAACCCCATCATCTCCCACAATGTTGTGAAGATCCTTCAAACCTCCAGAGGGGGTTTTCAGAGAGCATAAGACTATACAGAGAGAAAGGAGTAGTCACTTTTCCCTTATATCAAATGGAGCTAAGTCTGGATCCAGCATGTCTAGTTCTTCTGGGTTTAATGTATGTTGAATTGATAGTGAATACTGTATTTTTTGCTCATAAGACGCACCTGACGATAAGTCACAGCTAATTATGGAGCGAAAAATATGGTACATCAAAGGCAAAAAGGCAGGGAAAACGGGAGATTCGAATTTCCCACCCTTTCCCCTGCCTTTCTGCCTTCGTGGCAGCGCGGGACCACCAGGAGGTCGGGGAAGCCCTGGGAGACCTCCCTGGGGGTTCCCATGGCGGCGATTGGCGCCTTCAGAGGGCTTCAAGGGCTTTCCCCCCAACATCGGAGGAAGCCCTTTGAGACCTCTGAAGGCAAAAAGGCAGGGGGAAAGGGCGGGAAATTCAAATTTCCCGCCCTTTCCCCCTGTCTTTTTGCCTTCGGAGGTCTGGAGACCTCCTAGGGGTTCCCCGCCACCGCAATCTGATCCCCAGGAAGTCTCTGATGGCTTGGACCCCCCCGGGGTCCCCCTCCACCGTGCTCCGACCCCCAGGAGGTCTCCAAGGGCTTTCCCCCGACATCGGAGGGGGCCCTTGCAGAAGTATATTCACTTCATAAGATGCACACACTTTTCACCCCATTTTTTGGGGGAGGGAAGTATGTCTTATGGAGCGAAAAATACGGTATGTATTTTAAAATTTCTCCTGCAGCATTATTTATCCGTAGGTCTACATTGCTGTGGCATACAGCAGACCTGGTCAGTGTGTGGGCTGTGGGCAAAGTTATTTTTCCCCCTTCCACCCTCCCATTTCTTCTCTATTTTACTACATTCTGGCAAACAGGTTGGCCTACAAAATGAACAGTCATACCCCTAATATTGGGGAGGTGGGGAGGAAACAGTTTACTATCTGGAGACGTCTCCCCCCTCTCAACCTAAAATTGATCTGGAAGGGTGAAAAGGGCCTGAATAACATTTTGTGCCCCCCCCCCAAGCTTCTGGGATGCAATTTACCATTTTGTAGGTCAAATTTTCCTCCAGATGAGATACCTAGAGGGCCACATAATTACAGCAACAGGGTAGATATGCCCTTCTGAGGTTTGGCGCCTTCTGAATCCTGGAATATCAGTCAAAAACAGAAGAAATAAGACAAAAACATTGTGGCACTTTAAAGACAAATTGCTACATTTTAATGTGATCTTTGATAGACAAGTCTGTTTCTACCTCTAAGGAAGAGAACTTGTCCATGGAAGCACACATTAAAATGTAGCAATTAGTCATTAAGGTGCCACAATATTTTCTTCTTTTGTTTTTTGTCTGAAATACTAGCACAGAGTGAGTACATTTCCTTCTTTCCCTCTCCTCACCCCAAGCTTTTTTTAATCATTGAAATAGAAGAACAACAGATTTTTTTTTTCAAAGCATACAGGACCATGTTCTGTGTCCCAGAGTTACAGATTTTCTCCAAGTGCTTTGTGACTGATTAAGAAAAAGATGCAAAAGGTTTTCATTTAACTAAACAATATCTTTAATTTCTGGCCTTAAATGTATTGACAGAACAGTTATTTCTTTCCCATAGGTTGGCAAGGAAGGCCTGCAGATTTGTGTTGAGATTTGTGGAAGTGCTCTCCAGCTAGATCTTCGTGATGATCCAAAAATGAAATGTTTGATATACAAAACCATTGCTCACTTTTTGCCAAATGACCTGGAGATTGTCAGAATATGTGCTCTTTCTATCTTTTTTCTTGAGTGCACTTTGGAGTCATATTATACTGTTGAAAATCTATACAAACATGCAGATGAAGAGTACAATGAACAAACCAGTTCTGTGCAGAACCGTGTGCGATTTGAGTTGCTTCCCATTTTGAAAAAGGGGTTGTTTTTTGATCCTGAATTCTGGAATTTCTTGATGATCAAGGAGAACTGTTTAGCACTGCTAAGAGAAAAAGCATCAGTTGAGTTGAATGCAAGTACACTGGAGCATGGTTTGAATGCACCAAAGACTCGTCAAGCATTGCGTGGAGATCAAGCCTGTGTGGCCAATATAAATAATGGAGAGTTAGACCATGAAGAGGCTTCTGGAGCACAGTTGAAATGTCATGGTAATTCCAAAAAGAACCATGTAGCTCTTGGTTTGTCTAAAGTTGATCACAATGTACCAAGGCACCGTTGTGTGTTATGTAACAGGGAATTTCTTGGTGGTCACATTGTGAGGCATGCACAGGCTCATCAGAAAAAAGGCAGTTTTTCATGTGTTATGTGTCACAGGAGATTCAGGCAAAAAGGAGTAATGCTTAAGCACTTGAAGAACCACATCAAGAAGATGACAAGGCATCATCTTGCTGTTTCTTGTCATAATCAGGAACCCCTTGATATAAATAAGATAAATTATTCAGATACAGATGTCTCTTTACAAAATGGGAACTCTGAGTCCTCTAAAGATGACAAAATAGAGGTCGCCATTCCAAATACTGATCAGGAGAAACAGACTTCTGAAGTCACCTTGGCTGTAACTGAAAATCACGTTAGTGACCACGATAGTGTTTTTGAAAATGGTAAAAGTGGTAACTGTTCAAATAACACTCCTGAACCAGAAGCTACAGAAGGGGTGCCCGAAACTGCTAGTGATCTGAATAGAGATGTCCCTACAGTTCATAAAGTAAATGGTGTATTATGCTCTCAAAATGACTTGGACATTCAGGACCAAGCAGGTAACTTCAAGTGTCCTGCTAATGGCTGCATTCGAGTGTTTAAAAAAGTAAGGTGTCTGAATAAACATGCGCGGAAAGCTCATCCCACTGATCTGAAGGTGCAAGAGCATATAATGAAGTGGAATAAGGGGAAATGTCGGTTTTGTCAGAGGAAGTTTTTAGATTCTCAACATTTTATTGACCATCTAAAGCAACATGTTTATCCAAATGTATATTTTTGTTTACATTTTAACTGTAATCAGAGATTTAGGCTGTCCACTGAGCTTACAGAGCATATGAAAAGTCACAGTGAGTTTAAAGCTCAGTGTAACTTTGCAGAATGCTGTAAACTTTTTGATGATCTTTCCTTGCTCTATGAGCATGAAGCTCAACATTATTCACAGAAAACAGATTCTCCTGAAGAAATCAGTGAAAATAATGCTTCAGGTCCTGCTTTGGAATCCCAGTGTAGCATCCAGGAAAAAGGAAGCAACAGTAATGAGCAGGAGGCTGGGATGGACTTGCCAGTTCCAACTTGGAAAGCAAGAAAAGATTCTACAGAACCAAAGACTTATATCCAGAGTGAGAAAAAAGCAAATAATCTAATTCAGAATGGAAATGAAAATGTATGTGATGGCATTGCTACTGTTATGACTTTGATAGACCAAAAGATACCTGCAGTTGAGCCAAATTTGGAGAATAGCAATGTTACTGACCAACTAGTTAATGGGCATAGTGAACTGGAACAGACTACTTCAGCTTCACTGGATGCTGATTTGGAAGGAGTGACTGACAAAATAAGGACAGAAAATGGATCCGTTCTACCTGTTTTACAGAACTGTACTGACATACCACCAAACAGTGTTTCTGCAGTCTCTCAGTCACCTTCCAAACCAAATCAGATAACAAAAAATACTACATACGGCTTAATTTTAACAAAGCCTTTTGTTAGACCATTGCCTCCAAGTTATCTTGATGAACAGTATATTAGCATGCCAAAACGAAGAAAAACGTTGACTGAAAAAGTAGATGCCCATTCAGAGCAAGATAAAGCTGGTAGCAAATCAGAGCGATTAAGATGCAGCAAATGCCTGACCACCTACTGTAACTCAGAAGCACTTCAGCTTCATCTTGCACAAAAGAAGTGTCGGACACTCTTTGGATTCGATTCAGATGATGAAAGTAAGTCATATGATATGTCTACTAAACTCATACATGTTAGCTACTTACTCAGTTCAGAGTAGTGCTTCATAACTGCAGAGGAACAGACTTAGCAGTCTGTTGTGGTAACATCAACAGTGAGTCTTGTATCATTTAACACAGTGGTCCCCAACCTTTTCCGAACCGTGGACTGGTTGGGGGGGGCGGCACACTCGTGGGGGGTGCTCACAGGGGGGCAGGAGATCCTGCCTATGCCGCGGACCGGGGGTTGGGGACCCCTGATTTAACAGACTAACATTTAGCATGATATAAGCTGTCCTGGATGTTGCCCATAAAAATGCAAAATGGACCCTGTAACGTTCACCCTTATCATGTTAAGTAGTTATGAATATTCATGTTGTAGGCTAATGTTGGTAGGAGGCAGAGCTGAGAGAAATGTAATAAAGAGGTGGAGTCAGGCAGACAGAGGGGGTAGTAAGTTAGTCAGAGTCAGAGAGAGTGAGAGAGTGGAGAAGGAGATAAGAATGTGGCATTTGGGAGATCTGAGGTGTGATTAGTGGCGTTCGTCCTCGTGCCCCTTGCCTGACCGTCCAGACACAGAGCACACGAAGGCAAACTACTACTCCTTTTTGCCCTGCTGCCACCAGTTGATCACTAATTCAACTTCAGTTATGGAAGGATGAAGATTCAGGTCCAAACTTCACTGTCTTTTAAATAAAACACTTATTGATTACAGATGTTATTATTAATAATCATAGGTAACTTTTATTATCAATCACAATCTTCTATTTGTTATTACAGTTCTATTTGTTATTACAGTTCTTATTCACTTTTCACTCTAATCACACCTCAGATCTCCCAAATACCATATTCATAACTACTTCCCACTCTCTCTGACTCTGACTCACTCTTACTGATCCCCCTCTGTCTCCCTGACTCCGCCTCTTTATTACATTTCTTGCGGCTCTGCCTTCTAGCAACATTAGCCTACAACATGAATATTCATAACTACTTAACATAATAAGGGTGAACGCTACAGATCCATACAATCACATGTCATAATAAATTCCTTAGCCTATAAGCTGCTATGAAATTGTTAGTTTCATTTATAAATGAGCCTTGGGCTGTATACTCCCAATATTACCTTGTTTCCTTTGTCACCTTGCATAGTTAAAAATTGGAAGGGTATTATTAAAACCTGAAGGTGAGTTGCCTGTTTTTACAAATATCTCTTACCACAAAGGCAAAGCATCTGTAAGGCTACTTTCATGTTTTCTTGTTTTTACACATCTCAGTATATTAATAACAAAGTACATTTAGTTTCACATGGTGTACAATTGACCTAATGGAAAAAAGAAAAAGAATGTGTAAACTTATATTTGAATATTTAAGGAAAAAGCATTATATAGGAGATGAATTGGGAGAAAGGCTAAATTATTCTCATATTTGTTTATTGTGGTCTCAGATGACATTGGTCTCAGTCTCAGGCTTAAATAAGGAAAAGAAGAAATAAGAGACCAAATTGCACAGGCTGTTCTCAAAGAAATCTGACCTGTTAAATTTTCTGGTAAGAAAGTTTGTTGCAGTTGATTATTGAGGGTAAAACAAATGGTAAAGGAAGTTCTAGAAGAACAAACTAGATGCCAAGTGTCATTTAGAGCTGCTGTGTCCAAAGTCAGAATAGGAATATCTGACCTCTATTGGGAGAAGAACTAATAATTAGTTAGTAATGGGTAGTTAGTAATTATTTTTTAGACTTTGCTTCAGAATTATTAACTATTTAAATTCCATTATAGAACAGGAATCCAGAATATTAACCAACATGATTTGTTTTTACAGGTGCCTGATCAAATAGTGTGAGAAGACTTCTCAGTTGAGAAGTGGTGTGATGGAAACCTACAATGTTCTGCATCAATTTGCTTTTCCCTTGTTGGCCTTAATTATCAAGAAATCTGACGTTTTTAAAGAAAATAAGGATCTTTTTCACAATAAAAGCACACTTGTGTCAGAACTGAGTGGCAGCAAAAGTTGTGCAAATTTCAAACCCAGAAAAACTGTGTTAAAGCTCCCAAAGTACCAGTTATCTAATACTCACAAGATCCCACATGGTTCCCAATATAAGTAAGCTGATATTGCAGCAACACACTGAATAGCTATTGTGCTGAGTGGTAGCTGTTGCCCTACAGAGAAATGCCAGGGATACATGACCCCTTCAGGAGCATGTTTAAATGAAGTCTGCCAACATTATAATCTGATAGTTTGAGTCATTCTGTAAAATATTGCTGGGCCTAAATATGTGGTCAGTTAGAAGTTAATTGCTTGTAGCAGTTAATTTTGCATTGATGTATTTTTTACTTTGGCAACAAGTGAATGTAACAGGTAGTTGACCTGCACAGTCTGTCTTGGTAAAGAAGTTAAGGCATAATTAAGCTACATTCAGATACACAAAACTTCTCCCTCCCCATATCTGAATTGTGGAGAAGGTCTCGCAAGAATTGCTGGGGCAATGGGATCTACACAATTACAATATTTGGTACTAAACATGCAGTCTGAGTCACAGTGGTAAATGCACATGATAGCAAAGCCCCTGAACTGGATTTGGAGTCTAAAATTTCACTGTAATAATTTAGTAGTAGATTTGGTTGATATCTTTTAAAGGCTGATTTCTACTATAAAAAGTGTTACTCTAAAGAGAAAAAGGCCCCCAAGATACAAAGCTGACTATAAGGAAGGATAAAAGAACCTGGCAAAAAACTTTGTATTGTATCAATACAGAAAAACAGCACTGAATTTTCATTAAGCAGCCATTGCTTTTTATTTTGAATATAGTTATGAAATTGGTTGGTTCAAAAAATCCAGTGGTAGAAATTAATTCCAGGGCAGGAATTATTTTAGAAAACTGTAGGAGTAACTTGCACTGTGCCTTGAGAGGTGAAGCTTTAATCCCCTCCTCATAGTATACCGAAGGCAGAGCACTGAAATCCCAATGGCCCAAGTGAGTCTTCTGTAGAGAAGTCAGTTCACAGATTTTTGTCACAAAAGATTGAGACGTTAAGAACTCTTTCTGTATTTGCACATCATAAGAGGTTTAATAAATATATTATTAAGATGGATTTATATATTTTCAGAATTGATTGATGAATGGTAGGTAAGTTCCATTTTGGCCATTTGTAACACAATCCTGAATACATGTGTAGTAAGAGGTAAGTCCCGTTGAGTTGAATGGGCTTTATTCCAAAGTAAATGAACATTAGATTGCAGCCTTGAATTTCATCAATACTAAAGAAATACAAAGTTCATCACCAGTTTTGTTGAAAATATTAGGTGTTAAAGTATGAGTTTATAATACAATAAAACAGTGTTTTAACCATTTTAAAGTTACAGTAGGATTCCTGTATCTGTGGGATTGGTTGTGGTTTCACTTTTCTGTGATCTGAAAATATTAAAAGAAAAAAACCAGAAATACGTATTTTCATGTGGTATTTATCAGAGCTAGTCACTAGGATGGTCCCTGGCTCCCTCTACTGGCCAGTTCTGGTAATATATAGTGAAAATATTTTTCTAGATATTTTTCTTTTACCATACCATGTATAGAATACAGTTGTCCCCCGCTTAACGATTACCCCGTATAACGACGAATCCGCTTCACAACAATGTTTTTGCGATCACAAAACGATGTTTTAAATAGTTTTTTTCCACTTTGCGAAGATCGGTTCCCTGCTGCGGGAACTGATTCTTCGCATTACGACGCTCAAAACAGCTCATTGTCGGGTTTTCAAAATGGCCGCCGGGGGCTCAAAATGGCTCCCTGCTGTGTTTTTGGACGGATTCCTCGCTCTACAGGCACCGAAAATGGCTGCCCCATGGAGGATCTCCGCTGGATGGTGAGTTTTTCAGCCCATTGGAACGCATTGAACGGTTTTCAATGCGTTTCAATGGGCTTTTTAATTTCACTTTACAATGTTTTCGCTGTGTAGCAATTTTGCTGGAACGAATTAACGTCATTAAGCGAGGCACCACTGTAAAGTTGGAAGGGGCCTATAAGGCTATCGAGTCCAACCCCCTGCTCGATGCAGAAATACAAATCAAAGGATATCTGCCAGGTGGTTGTCTTAAGTTTCTCTTGAATACCCCCAATGTTGGAGCACTCAACACCTCTCGAGGTAGTTGGTTCCACTGTCTTACTGCTCTAACAGGAAATTTTACCTGATATTCAATCAAAACCTTGCTGTCTGTAACTTGAGCCCATTGCATGTCCTTCGCTCTGGGAGGATTGTGAACATATCTTGCCCTTCCTCTGTATGACAGTGTTTCAAGTATCTGAAAAATGTTATATCACCCCTCTATCTTTTCTCATGGCTAACCATGCCCAATTCTTTCGGCCTTTCCTCATAGGGCTTGGTTTCCAGCCCCCTGATCATCCTTGTTGCCCTTCTCTGAACTTGTTCCAGTTTGTCAACATTCTCCTTGAAGTGTGGTGTCCAGAACTGGACACAGTACTCAAGGTGAGGCCTAGCCAAGGCTGAATAGAGGGTGACTAGCATTTTAAATTTTGTTTCTGACTTCCAGCTATTCCACCCAATTTTGTGTCATCCAGAAATTTGACAAGCATTCCCTGCACTCCTTCATTCAAGTTATTAATAAAAATGTTGAAGAGCACCAGACCAAGGACTGAGCCTTCAGGTACCCGACTTGTTACCTCCTCCCAGTTGGAGAAGGAGCCATTAATCATCACTCTCTGAATACAATTCTGTGGTCTGACATTTGATCTATCCAGCCCACACCTAAGCTTGCTAATCAGGATATAACTACTACAACAACAATAATAGTTATTGTTATTTATTGTCATTGGACGTATATAAACTGTATACACATACAACAAAATTCAGAAAGAACACTCAAGAGACCAGACCAAAACACACACACACTCATAACAATCCTAAAACCCAGAACCCTGCCTAAAAGCACACAGTATCCACACATATCATGGGGCACTTTGTCAAAAACTTTGCTGAAGTCAAGATATACAGCATTCCCTCTGTCTATCAGGGACGTTACCTGATCAAAAAATGAGATCAAAATAGTCTGGCAGGATTTGTTTTTGACAGATACGTGTTCTAGGTGCTTGCATAGTGGCCATTTTATAATTTATTCCAGAATTTTCCCTGGAGTTGATGTTAGGCTGGCTGGCTTATAGTTCCCAAGTTCCTCCTTTTTGCCCTTTTTGAAGGCAGGAACAACATTAGCCCTCCTCCAATCAGTTTGGCAACTCACCCATTTCCCATGATTATAAGAAAATAATGGACAGCGGTTCTAAGAGTTCTTGAGCTAATTCCTTCAGTACTCTTGGCTGCAGTTCATCCAGCCCTGGAAATTTCAACTTGTTCAAGGTGGTAAGGTATTCCTTGACTATTCTTTATCAATCTTCAGCTGCAATCCTGTCACCTCCGCTTGCACTTCAAATTTGTCTGGAGGTTCATAGTCTGTCTTATGGGGAAAAACTGAGCTAAATTAGGAATTGAGCACTTCTGCCTTTGTCTTCTATTATCATTTCCCATGCCCATTTGGTAGTTGCGCCACTATTTCTTTTCTTTGTCTTTTGCTTCACACATACCTAAAGAATGCTTTTTATTGCTTTTAGTCTCTCCAGCTAATCTCAGCTCATTCTCAGCTTTTGCTCTCTTAATTCTCTGCATTTCCTTGCTAGTTGTCTGTACTCTTCTTTGGTGACCTGGCCTTCTTTCCATTTCCTATACATATCTCTCTCCCCCAGTGTCCTTTGTGAGCTTTTTGTGAAGCCACACGGGCCTTTTTTTGCTGCCTCCCTCCTTTTTTCTTGTTGGAATTGTTTGCAGTTGTGCTTTTAGAATTTATTTTTTCTTGTTCTTTTTAAAGAAACTCCCGCCCTTGGACTCATTTTCTTGTTAGGATCTCCTGCCATGGGACCTGACTCATCCTTGTTCTGAGATTATTAAAATTGGCCTAAAAAATCCAGCATATGTGTGTGGCTACACTCTGCTTTGGTTTCCTTTGAAATCAAGAATTCACTCTCGCCCACTCACTGCCACTTCCTCCACCAAGTCATCTCTGTTGGTTAGAATCAAGTCAAGGATAGCAAATCCTCTAGTTTCTTTCTCCACTTTTTGTAGGAGAAAATTATCAGCCACACAAGCCAGGAATTTCTTTGAAGGACCATGCTTTGCAGAATTTGCCTCCCAATAGATATCTGGATAATTGAAATCTACCATCATTGCTACACTATGTCTCTTTGAAATCCTTGCCATTTGTTTTTCAAAAGTTTCATCTGCTTCCTCTCCTTGTTTGGACGTCCGGTAGTAGACTCCAACTACCATGTTCCTTTTGCTGTTGTCCTAGCTACCTTGATCCAGATACTCTCAATGGGACAGATGTTCTTCTGTATCTCTGTGCAGGAATGCATATATTACATATACTGCAATTCCACCTCTTTTTCTGTTCTCTCTGTTCTTTTTGAACAATTTGTATCTTTCAATTGCTGTATTCTAGTCATTGGAGTCATCCCACTAAGTTTCAGTTATTCCTATCAAGTCATATTTGCCCCCCTCAACTACCATTTCCAGTTTATCTTGGTTGTTCCCCATACTCCTGGCATTCATATATAGACACTGGGGATTGTGTGATTTGTGGCCTGTTTGTCCTTGTACATTTAATGTTATTATTGACCCCCATTTGAACAATTTTGTCTGTTCCACTTATTGTAAGGCTTCATCTATCTTTAACTCTGTGCTTGTGTCTCCCTTACAATTCTGTTTAAAGCCCTCCTGATGAAGGTTCATACTGCTACCAAACACATTCTTCCCAGTCCTTGTAAAATGCAAGCATCTCTTGCTAGCAGTCCTTCTTCCAGGAAGCTTAGCCCGTGGTCCCAGAAACCAAACCCCTCATATTGACACCACCTTCATAGCCAGTCATCACTTGGAGTGTCTCACTTTCCCATTCTATTCTTCCTAGTACTGGTAGGATGAATGAAAAAACTGTCTGGGCCCCAAGTCCTTTAGTTTCCTTCCTAGAGCTTCAAAGTCTGACGTGATTTCTTCAAACCTCCTCTTGGCTGTGTCACTTGTTCCCACATGGACAAGAAGAAAGGGATATGTATCTGTGGGTTGTATGAGTGATGCTAGTCCTTTCATCACATCCTTTATCTGACCTCCAAGGAGACAGCATATGTGGCATGTCCATGGATCTTCCTGGCATATTTCGGTCTCAATTCCACGCAGTAGGAAGTCTCCTACTACAACTACTCCTCTTTTTGTAGGGTGCAGGTGGAGTGACTGTATTTTGCTGTGCTTCAGCCTGTCTAATGTATAAGGTTTGCTATTGTCTGTGGTTTTCAGCATCCACAGAGGGATGCTTGGAACTAATCCCCCATGGATATGGGGTCCTACTGTATATTTGGTATCTTGGATGCCAGAGAATGTTTATAATAAGCCTGCACAATTAAAGTAATGGTCAAAAGTACACTATGCTGAAATGTCAAAATTCAGCACCAAAGTACTCCAAATTACAAAAAAAGAAAGGTTTATTTTTATGCAGATTTTAATAATTTCTCTGTCCATACAGAGTTTATGACAACATTTACACAGATATGATTCCTGCTTTTTTGCTACTGGTGTCATTAGAGATCTAAAATAATCATTTCTGTATATTGATACCCCTGTATTATAAGCCAAAGTTCATAATAAATTTCGTATTTTATATTAAATGGGTGTCATTCCCAAATCTCAGATTTTAACTGTGATTTAATTGATACCATTACCAGACTAAAGAAGAGCTTTGTCTAAGTATATGTGTCCTAAAGGTAAAAGTTCTGCTAAATAAGAGGCAGTGCTTTAAAATGTAATGTCATGTTTGTTAAATTAAATTCAATTTTGATCAAAATTAAATTATTACTGATTTTATGTAGTACTCATAATCAGGCATTCCTAGGTGCTTTCCCTGTTTGTTCCCTCATGTTTCATTGTTGAACTGATTTCCAACAAATGAAGAGCATTCATTGAAAAAAAAACCATTTAATTTCATACCATGATAAGAGTAATTAGTTCTGTATTTGAAAATGTAGAAATCTACTTTAATGGAATCAAATGTGTATAGAGCCCTATCCAGGAGTTACAGAAGAGGTAAATGAACACACGTGTAAAGGGGAATGCACTAATCATCTTGTTTTGTTTTTGTGTAAAGCAACACGTCTGAAGAGGAGAGCTTTGGTAAATGTGGAGGCTGTCCTCCCCAGCTGAAGCTCTGGAAAACAAGGGTTCTGGTTTGTGTGGAAAGCCTTTTTGTGTAAAGGAAACTCCTCTTCAAACCCATTGCTTTGCATATGAGCAAAATGATAAAAGCAGGGATGGGAAGGTGAGGCTAGCATGTGCCTTTCTTCATGTGTTTCCCTATGTAAAATGTCTGAATTCGGCTTGTGAGTACCCTGAGATTTTTTGACACTGTGGGTAGTAGTCAAGTAGAATATTTTCCCGCTGCAACTGTATCTGTAATTAAAAAGGATTCCCACTAATAATAGTAGTAATCACATGCTGTTGTTGATTCTGACTTATGGGGACTTTTTCAGGGTTTTTGAGATGCAGCCTATGCAGACGTAGTTCACCATGATCATCTTCTAGGGGTGCTGTGGGACTGTGTTGCTTGCCAAAAGCTACACAGGTTGGCATATGCCCCAGAAAGTACAGTGGGGAATCTGACTTGCAGCCAGGTACCTAATTCACTTACACTTCTTAACTGCTACAGATTCTGAGACTTCAGAGCAGATTTGGGAAGGGGTCATGGGGTGTTGCAGGGAAAAACATAAAGAAATGCTCCATTGTGCATATGCAACTCTGCTTAAACAAATTTGGTTGTCAGTCTGTGGACTTTTCATTGCATGTAACTCAGATGCTTTAAAATAGAAATGGGTCCTACAGTGCTTGGTTGGGTACTGAGTATGTATTGATGGTGTAGCAGTGATAATTTTTGTCTACTTTAAGCTGGGTTTTAATTTTCAAAGTAAGAACATGGAACAGTATAATCTCTGCCACCTTATGAGTCTGAAATTGTAGGCAGTTTTGATTCCTATGCATAACCATTTGTTGGGCATCAGAAATTTAGACTTACAAGTCCTTCCTGAGAAATGAGTTCAGTCTCATGAATTACTTCCCACAGTATGTAAGATCAGTCATAAAACAGCAGTAGGTAAAATATAAAAATGAAAATGTGGAAGTTACCCTCTATACAATATAGTTGTATGTTGGTTTTGTATTTGATTTATTTGGCTTTTTCTAAAAGATTAAAAAAATCTTTAAATTAGTAATTTGTATAGAATTGTGATGTAAATGATGTGTTATACCATCACAGAAAATGCTTAGGCTATATTATACCAAAGGCTACTAGGATACTATAAACATATTCTTGCATTACAAAGGACAGGACAGTTTTACTGGTACACAATACTGTATAGGTGTTTCAGAAATCTTAAAATGGGTATGCAACTGTTTATTTTGAAACACTTATTATTTTAAAAATTAAACTTGTTCTTGCAGGAGAAACTGCATGGAATAGGAAGCCAATCAGTATGGCCACCCCAACTCTATTACACATAAATTCTGTTCTAGAGGAAAATCTGTAGACTTGGCCCCTGCCTACTTGTAGGTATCTTGCAATTTTGCTAGCTGTTAAGATATGCTGCTGTATCTCCTCAGAGATGAGGAAGGTCATATTTGTGACTAGTTAATCACCTATTTGTCCCTAGTAAGTTATGCATTGTTCACATAAGTATTTATCCAAGAAGCAAGTTTCTGCTTACATTAAACTGGCTTTGGGACTACAAAGGCTGCTCCCCCTATTGATGGTCCAGTTTGGACGTCCTAGGATTAAATTTGTTTGCTCCAAGGCTTGCCAGGTGATGACTGGTATTTCATTGACATACTGCAAACACACAACCAAGCATTCACTTTTTAATAGTTTCTGTGCTTAGAACTATACTGTATATTATACATGGGTTCAGTCAAAATGTTAAGTCTGAGCTAGGGTAACTGGAAGATTTAACATTCCATCATGTTCTTACATGATGATGTTCATTATCTGCCTCCTCCCTGCAGTGTTCTGTTTCTTGCATAGCTCATGTACTGACACCCCACTCATCTTTGTCCAGAGAGAGAGTATTCAAGAAAGGAACTGTCACTGCACTGTTTAGTTTCCGTATCTGGAAACGTTCTGTGACAGGTGTTTTCCTGTGGTCTGGAAGGATTAAAGCCCAGAAGATAGCAGAAATGTCATAATATTACACCATGTTTTACCAGCCTGGAAAGAAGTAGTAATATGAACTGTTTATACTCAGCCTGAGTGGCTAGGCAAGTAGTACACTACATGATTTAATGTTTTCTAAATGTCCAATGTCAAAATGTGGCACAATACAGAAAATGTGCACTATTTCATGCATCTCTTGAAACTGACTGTTTATCACCTAGTTATCTGACCCTTCTCCCCCAGGATAACACTTAGTGCCTAAAATGCATCTTACATTACTCCAAATTCTGACAGTATTTCTGAATCATAGTCTCTGCTGGATTTGACAGATTTTTTTTTTAAAAAAATGTTTGCAAGCTTCTGTTACTACATACATTTGATTCCCAGTAAAGGTCTTGTAAAAAATCAAGTATTACTCTGTGGGTAACCTCTCATTGATATCTGTTTTGTAGAACAACTTTGAATTGGTTACTTGTGGGAAAGGTCACTGGTACTTTGGTTTAGCCATATTCACTAGAAATTGTATAGTTTTGATCATGTATAGCAAGAAGATTCAGCAGTACTTCTTGTTTAATACAAAGGGGCAGGAATTAAAGGGGGTGTTTTTTTAATTTATTTTGTACTGTATAACACCTTGATTAAATGCAGTGTGTGCATTTTGGGACTTCCGTTTAATTTGTAAAGGCTATTATAGGTTCAGCAAGTAAGGAAATTTGTGCTTCCTTCTTGAATGTTAAATTATTTTATTTTGCATTTTATATGAGTACAAATTTAAACTGAGCCATCAAACTGCAATAAATCAACAGTAGTGTTTCATTTTAAACCTTTTGTACTGTACATAGAATTGTTCAATAAAATACTGTCTGTTATTAAAGGTGAATTTATGGTGTCCAGGATTATACAGTACCTACAAAATATTTAGCTACAGTCATTATATTATTATGCAACAGCCAGCATGGAATTACATTTTGTGTGCTGGAGGCCCAGTCATGTTGTGTAGCTCTGATATGAAGAAATGAAGAACTTTGGAAGGGGCCTAGCCCCAACCCACCCCTGGCAGATACTGTGTTTACCTTTCTAATTTCTGGTACATCCCTCTGTGGGACGTCTGCTGTGCTAACAGAACCTTATTGCTAGTAGATAAGATATATTAAAAGAACAGATATGATATGCCTCCAGACCTGTGTTGCTGTTGAAGGGTGTCCAGGGAACATTGTTACACTCATGGTTTGCTTTTATGCTTCCTATTGACATTTACATTGCTGAATTGGACAGGATATTTGGAATACTACATCTAGCAAGACTAGTCTCTGCTGCAGAGCCAGAGGTTGTGAATTCAATTCCCCACTGTGCCTTCCTGATACTGGCTGGACTCAAAGATCCATTGGGTGCCTTCCAGCTTTGCAGTTCTAAGATTATTCTACATCTCAACAATCTAATGAATAATACATTTATTATAGCATGCACAAACCAACAACACAAAGTTTCACAACCTGCCACAAATACTATGCATTTCCAATTTTAAAATTGTCTTCTTTGCAGAAGCATCACTTGTCAGGTTTCAACCAGTTCTGCCTGCAGTACAGACAAATTGAATATAGTTACCATGAAGTGAATCATAATAGTGATATCCAGGGTGGTGTAGTGGTTAGACTAGGACTCAGGAGACCTCAGTTCAAATACCTGTTTGGCCATAGAAACTCATAGATAGAGACTCATAAAGGCATTCATATCTCGCATCAAAAGTCCTGTTTGGGCTGCTATCAGTTTGGACTTGAAGGGATATAACAGTTTATCAGATGCATACAACTATCTTCATGGTTTCAGCAATATGGGTGTAACAAAAGGAAAAAAAGTGAACAGCGTAAAATGTCAATAGATCATATAGTCACGCTCTAGAAGTGAGAAGTGCTTTCCAATGGGGGGGGGAAAGGAAATTCGCCAAACATTAACGAAGACTCAGAACAAAGCCAAATTAAGTTTGCACACGTTTTAGAAGGTGCTCTAACGAATCCAAGCATTTAAAACAGTTTCTGATTCTTCGTTAATATTTGGTGAATTTTTTTCTCCCCCATTGGAATGCATTGAACCCGATTTTGACAGCTGTCAAAACAGGCACTTCAATGCATTCCAATGGGGGAGAAAAAAATTCACCAAAAACTAATGAAGCGTCAGAAGAAAGCCAAATTAAGTTTGCACACGTTTTAGAAGGTGCACTAACGATCCCAGGCATTTAAAATCGTTTTTGAACCTTTTAAGACACACTTAAAATTGCAAAAACGGATATCGCAAAACCATTGGAATGCATTGAAAAGGTTTCAATGCATTCCAATGGGGGAAACATTGTATCGCTTAGCGATGTTTCCTATGGGGATTTTCGCTGAAGGACGGCAATCCGTTCCCATTGGAACGGATTAACCGGTTTCAATGCATTCCTATGGGAAATGGTGTTTCGCTTCGCGATGTTTTCCCATAGCAATGTTTTTTGGAACCAATTAACATCGTTAAGCGAGGCACCACTGTAGTTAGTTTACCTCAACAGGCACTTACTCTTTCAATACATTCACTCACAGACTCAGGTAATAAGAATAAATGCTTCTGTTTATTTACAGTTCCTTATGGGGGAAAAAACATTGTGTGTGAAAAATATCAACTGGTTACACTGAATGAGCTTAATTGGTTAGCTAGCTTCATTACTGACAGACTGGTTACATAACTGACACTTCACTCTAACTGTCCTCTTCTGACAGACTCCACTGCTAACACTGACAGAACTGACAGTATCAAAAAGAATCTGAGGAAGAAAGGGAACTACTGGCTGTTGCTGGATTGATTGACATTCAACCCACTCCAGACAAGCCCTTCCCAGCCAAAAACTCCTTAAAGGCATCCTGTGTTAAGTTGCAATCTATCTAACATCTTCCCCTAAGAAAATACAAAAAGGAAGGAGGAAAAGGGAGCAAAAGACGGGTGGACTCAACTAAACAAACTGCTGCTTGAGTCTGCAAGGCCGGAGCAAGACCTTTGAGTGACCTCCCAAAGGTCCTTTGGGAGGTCACTAACCCACGTGTGCGTGCTTATGTACGGTCAACGCGGCGCCCACGAATGCTGGTCGGGTTTCTGCGGTCTGTGAGATAGTTAGGGATAAGTCTCCATTGCCGACGGGAGATTCGCACCCGGCTCGCCGGCTCCCGAGTCCTAGACGGAGGTCGTCTCCGCCACATCGCCCCTGTTCTCCCGTAATTCGTAGCGTCGCCCCCGAGCCAGAAAGGACCTGACGGCACAAGACAACAACATCGGCCACGCTTATGACACTATAATGCGCCAGACTATAGGAACCATTTCTGAAGACTCATTTTTGGAGGCCACTAACGTACAGGGTCGCCGTCGATCAGCAGCGACTTGACGGATACTCCCGTTGCTAAGTAGGAGACACTGGAAGGAAACAACAACTCTCTTGGCAGGTGTTTCTGTCAATTCTTCCTCCGTCTCCTACAACAACATCGAGGGGAAATCCAGGTAGCCAAAGGCGGGCGATGGCGACTTTCCGGGGAAGCTGGTGGAACGATTGTTAGGCCGTGCCTGTTGGGGGCCGAGTCGATTTAGGCAGGACACCGTTGGCGGCGAATGAGGGAACCTCGGAAAGGTGCGGGGGAGGGGAGGGGGAAGAGAGAGGAGGTGATGGGAAGGGGCGTCGTTGAGAATAACACATAAGAGGCGGAAGTGGCGTTGTCTCTCTCTCTCTCCTCCCCCCCTTTGCCTCTCGGTTGCCAGGGTTTCCGGGAGCTGCTGCTGCCGCCGCCGCTGCGCGAGAAGGCCCCGCCCCTCCCCGCCTGGTGGTGGTCCCGGTCTCGCGCTCTGAGGGACGGACGCCCTCTCTCCTCCCCCCCCCCCAGCGCGACGGCTGCCGCGAGCTGCTGGAGTTGCTCGAGACCGACGACCTAATGGCCTTAGCGGACACGGTAACCAACCGCCTCGTGAAGCCCGATGACCGCCAAGGTAAAACAGGCCGTGTGTGTTTGTGACAGAGGGGTGGGTGGGTAAAGGGGGCCCGTCGTCCCAAGGGAGGGGAGAGGGAAAGCGCCGACACCCTCCTTCCCTTCCCTTCCCCCCAACCACACTCCATATCCCGCAAGGGCGGAATCTCAACGCCAAGTATGTACAACCGACGAATTGCCCTAATGGGCCTCAGTAGGGAGTACGAATCCCCTTGCTTTCCAGGGGGTAGTGAAAGCCCTCCAGTGGGGGAGTAAAAGCGGGTCTAGCCCAGGCAGCTAAGGTAGCCTGGCACCCATGGGCCCACGTTGGTGTCCAAGCCCTTCCCGCCAATGGGGACTGGAGTAGCCTGCTTGCTGCTTTTGGGTGTTTGGCTCCCTCAGGTGCACTTGGCTCTCACTTGAGGTTCCCTCACAGGACTACTTCTTTGCTTTTCCTGTTTTTTTCTCTGATGCCATCGTGTAAATAAAGTTTTTCTTAAGAGACTCCCTGGTTGGATGTACCCCTCAAACGCCCACTGAACTGTATGTATGTATGTATGTATGTATCCTCAAACGCCCACTGAAATTTATGTGGTATGTATGTATGTATCTCTTGTTTCCTACTACAGTATTTAATTTAACAGGAGGCTCTATTTAAACAGAGCCTCCAGGTGCATGACAAAATCCTGAAAAACAAAAAGTTTCCCCATATATACAGAAAGGCCTAACCACTATAGCTATCTGCCATTTTATTCAAATGAGTACTGGGAAGACAAACTCTGACTGTAGTAAGTCTTTAAAGTTTGAGATGGAAGAGGTGTATGTATATGAAAGAGAGAAAGATCCTACCATGGTCTTGCAGGTATTCTAGTTAAGTGAACATATGTTTGATGTGCCCTAGTTTTCTTCTTCCTTCACATTTCTCTAAGGACGAGTTGCTTTGCTTTGAAATAAAATAAACCAAGGATTTCAGTCTGAAATCAAAGTAAGAACAGCTGGTGTGGTTTTCTATAAAATGTCTTCTGAGTAAGAACCTACTCTGTAGCTTTTAAAATCTAGCCTTTGAAAGGCACCCTGACTGCTTGCATTTTTCAAAATTAAAAAGCAAAACTTGGGGAAAAAAAGATTCTGACTCTAAATAGTTCAAAGATAGTTGGCAACTGTGGGCAAAAATCTTGCTACATATCCTAATCTTCAAAATTGAACATTTGGGGCTTAGATGGCTGAGTTATCTCTAGGGCACTCATGAGTAATTATCAAAAGTAAAGTTTTCTGCAGTTTATTTTATTGGTTAGAAATGACACAAGGATTAGCTTCTGACTAAGAACCATGGGACATAGATAAATGGATCCATCAATCTCAGCCAAAAAAAAAAGTAGCTCCACATTTCAGTAGCTGATGTCACAAGAGATTGATTAAAGGGAAGTGTAATGGGTAACAAGCAGTAATGGGGAAAATCTTGCATTTCCCCAATGCGTTATGATAATTCAAAAATCTAATTTGAGCCTTTTCAAGTGATTTACATATAGACTGTAACGTGACAATTTTTTCTTTCCATCCTTAAATTCAGGTAACAATGAAGTAATTTCTGATATTACTTAATTTGCAGAAGCCATACTTGCCATCTTATTGTATAGCCAAAGTGCTGAAGAGCTGCTGAAGAGAAAGAAGGTATTTCGTGATACAATCTTCAAGTATTTGGCAACAAAAGGAATTATAATGCCTCCTTCTTCTGAGAAGCACCAGCTTGTTGAGCGTGCAAAGCATTATTGGTGTGAGCAGCAGAAAGATTGTGCCTCAGAGCAAAAATATGCTAAGCCCGATGTATTGGTAAGTCTGTTGTTTCAGCTGCTTTAGAAATATTAAACATCAGTTTTGGGAATCACAGTTGCTTATTGATACTTTAATGTCCTGTTTAAATTGTTCTGTTTTGGGGTAGCTAGGCACAAATCCTTCAGTTAGAATTTTTTGTGTACTTGGCTACAGGACAAGAAGGACAGAGCCCTAGAGGTGTTTACTTCAGGTTTGTGAAATTTCCTGAAGTTAACTGATGAAGTGTCAGAGTGTTTCTCAGTCATGTGACTGCTACACATACCTGAATGTGCAACTGAAGTGTTCCCCAGCACCTGGTCAATTAGCCATAGCAAATTACACAAACCGTACGTGAACATCAGTAGTACTAAGGTTCATGTGTGATAAGCATTCCTGCCTAGTCTCTGTCAGTTTGTTAGTACTTTGGAGATGGTAGATGAGGAAAAGTTTATTGTGAGTGATTTGCAGGAAAAGTTGGCAGATGCTGGAAGACCTGTGGCAATATATCTGTTTCAGAAGTTCATGTTTTAGAAGAATACTTAATCTGGCATTCTCTCACCTGCAATAAAATTAAGACGAGTGTTTCTGGACTTTAGCAGCTCTGATTTCTTGGGCAGATAGAAGTAAAATGTCTGCAAATGCCATTAGTATGAAAAAGTTAGAAGAAAACTGTATAGGTTTTCCCAGTGGGAAAATGCATGAAAAACTTAAATTGATAATAATGAAAGGAAAATGAAACTATTGTAGATTTTTAAAAAAGAGAACTCTTTTTAAAAAGGAAAAGAAAACTTTCCCAGCACATACCTAGTTTTTATTAGCTGCTAGTGATTACTGTGTCAGTAATAGTGAAAAGCCTAAAGAACTGACCTCATGTTGTTGTGTATTCCATTTTTTTTTAGTAGCGACTTCTTAACTGGATGGAATGATTGTGAAAAATGTCTCTTTTTTACCAGTTGATAATTTTTCTGGTTGGGTATTTGGAAATTTTCTTTTTAAGTACCTTTTGCAACAATATTAGTGATGTGAAAGGGAGCTGGCTATATTGACATATTTGGAAAGTTGAACCATCTATTGTATCCTCAGTGCAGGTGGGTACCCTGCTACCTTGTTTCCCCAAAAATAAGACAGCTAAGATTGATTCAAATACAGTCATGTCATCTTCTGGTTGCTGCACAATGGTGGAGGGCAGGGTTTCATTTAACTGTGGCTTATTTTGTGGTAGGGCTTATATTACGAGCATCCTGAAAAATCATACTAGGGCTTATTTTCAGGTTAGGTCTTATTTTGGGGGAAACGGTAGGTCTGGCTATGGACAGTTTCACTTTATCTTTTCACTTCTGTTACTTCTAGGTGAGTAATATTTTGAGTTAAGAAGCTGATTAAATCCTCTGAGCTAATGTTTGGAAAATATTTGCTGAAACTGTCTGAACCTCCCTAATGTATGCACACTTCAATATGATGAGAGGGGCAGAATGTGTCAGGGAAACTGAGAGCAGTACCATCAAGAGACTAGATTCTATTAAGAGTCTTGGTTCCTAACTGGGTCACCTAAAGCAGAATGGTTGAAGCTTGGACACCAAACTAAAATGCACTAACCTTCTCCAGAAATTAGCGGTCTCATCAGTGGAAAATACTTGATAGTTCCATTGGTGATGATGCCATAGAAATACTTAGAGGGCAGCCTCTGGGCAATAGCAGTAGTGAAAAACAAAAACACTAAGGCTTATTTTCACGGAATGTTTTATTTTTTTCATGTACAACACACTATATTGATTCAAATACAGTCATGTCATATTCTGGTTGCTGCACAATGGTGGAGGGCAGGGTTTCATTTAACTGTGGCTTATTTTGTGGTAGGACTTGTATTACGAGCATCCTGATAAATCATACTAGGGCTTATTTTCAGGTTAGGTCTTATTTTGGGGGAAACGGTAGGTCTGGCTATGGACAGTTTCACTTTATCTTTTCACTTCTGTTACTTCTAGGTGAGTAATATTTTGAGTTAAGAAGCTGATTAAATCCTCTGAGCTAATGTTTGGAAAATATTTGTCTGTCTGTCTGTCTGTCTATCTATCTATCTATCTATCTATCTGTCTATCTGTCTGTCTATCTGTCTATCTATCTGTCTATCTATCTGACTATCTATCTGACTATCTATCTGACTATCTGACTTATATACCGCCCCATAGCGCTACAAGCACTCTCCGGGCGGTTTACAATTTTAATTATACAGGCTACACATTGCCCCCCCAGCAAGCTGAAACTGTCTGAACCTCCCTAATGTATGCACACTTCAATATGATGAGAGGGGCAGAATGTGTCAGGGAAACTGAGAGCAGTACCATCAAGAGACTAGATTCTATTAAGAGTCTTGGTTCCTAACTGGGTCACCTAAAGCAGAATGGTTGAAGCTTGGACACCAAACTAAAATGCAGTAACCTTCTCCAGAAATTATCAGTCTCATCAGTGGAAAATACTTGATAGTTCCATTGGTGATGATGCCATAGAAATACTTAGAGGGCAGCCTCTGGGCAATAGCAGTAGTGAAAAATGGCAGTGGTGGAGCTTCTTTCATAGATAATAGCATTGACACTCAAGCTTACTCGTGTTAGTACTGCATAGAAAAGGGTAAAGGTAAACCACTTCTGAACATTTTACAAAGCCCTTTGTTGAGACAGTCCAAAATGAAATGAGAGATAGTGGTGGCAGATGAGACTCACAGAAGGTATTCAGTCAGGAACAGGAAAGAACAGAGGATAAATACAAGTAGTGCTGTTGCTTATGAAGCAGTTGGGTTAAAGCAGAAAGGACATCTGGTTGTTAGCGTGTACAGAGGGAAAAAGAAAGTATAGTATTGTGTGACACACAAAATGGTACTACAGAATCTGAAAAGTGAATCAAAGTGAGCTTGAAACTGAAAACAAAGAAAAAAAATAAAATGTTTGAATCTTGTCATATTTGGGGTTAAATAGACTAAAGTGAAATGAAATAGGACATTTTCAGTAAAATAAGATAATTACAAAGTGTTCCCTTGAAGCATAGCAGAAGTAGTTGTATCATGTAATTCAAAGTTGGACAAATTAATATTAGTCAGTCTTCATGGAAAATGTATCAGTATAACCCGCATTCAGATCTGTGATTCAATTACAGATTTTGAATAGGGAAAACAATGAAAGCTGTTATGCATTTCTCTAGGAGGAAATTGCTTACACAGCAAAATGGGATCTACTAATAATCCTGGGGGACTGAAATGCAAAAGCAGAAAATAAAAAGCAGAACCAAACATTGTCAGAGAATTAGTTCTAGGAGTAAGAAACCAACAATTACAGAGTCTGTGGCTAAGTTTTTGTTTTATGTTGTAAGATCTTGCTTTTAATTGTTACTTCCTATTTTGTTTTTATTGTTGTATTGTTTCAATTCGGGTACGTAACCAAATGATAGAAAAAGAAAAAAGTAAAGCAGGAAAGTAAGTCATAGAAATCTTTGAAGCCAACAATTTGTTTATTGGAAATACATAACTTTGACAGCAGAACAAATGACATGAACATAACTGGATGGTCAGTGTAGAAATCAAAGAGATTATATAATTGGAGGCAGAAGTTGCTCTGCAAAAACAAGACAAGGAGCAGGCTGTTACAAAGAAATAGAATAGCAGCTCTTGGAAGAAATAAATCACCAATAGTAGATGGGATAACAACAGACTATTTTAACTACAGAGCCTGATTCTCTCAAAATCCTAACAAGAATATAGCAAATAGTATACTAAATTTTTTTTAAGGGTGGGCATCAATTTGTACTTCGTAGGTTATAGGAAAGCCTTTGTCTCTGCAACTTTGAAAATTATGGATTATTTTAAAATAAATGAGGGTGCTTCCATATTTGATTGTCCTGATGTTTAACCTATACTTTGGAAAGGAGCTGGTGTTAGGACAGAAAATGAAAAAAAAAAACTGAATAGTTTCCAGTTGGCAAAGATGTCAGACAAGTGGGCATTTTATCTTCATTCTGTATGCAAACAAAATGAAATGTTGGATTAGGTTCAGATAAATAAAGAAGGTAGAGAAATAGTAATAGTTGAAGATGTTCAGATGACACCATTTTTTTTGACAAGACTTTACTGTGGAAGGATAAAGTGTGTAAAAGCAGAATTAGAGCTGAACATTAAAAAGACAAAAGTAATGACTGCAGAAGAATGAGAGAACATTAATGTTGGCAATGAAGAAATCCAAATTCTCCAGAAAATAAAATGATTGAACTGAGGCTACCATACCTTGGATAGTCCATGAAAAAGTCACTAGTGCTAGGAAAAGTTGAAGGCAGTTGGAGAAGAGCAAGAGTTAACATAAGATGAATTGACTCAAGAAAGGAAACGACAACCATCAGTTTGCAAGAACTAAACTATTCTGTTAATGTTGGAATGTTTTGGGAGCATTTATTCATAGGGTGACCATAGCCTGAGAGATTGGATGGCTTAAAGGAGTATATATTCTTTTAAAATAATGTTTTACTTTTTTTTGAGAAATGACAATTGTGATTCATCTGTATAAATAAGGAAATGATGGCTGTTCATCTTGTATCCTTAGTCATTCCCTTGAGCTCAATTATTCCTCAAATCCATTGAAACCACTGTTTCTGTGTCATAGTCTATAGAAGAGGTAATAAGGAACCAAACCTGCTTAATAACTCTGTAATACAGAAGAGCAGCTCACAAATTTACTGCCAAGTAGATTTAAAAAAAGGGAACGTAATGGTTAAACTGCAGAAGCCTCTGTGCTATAAGGTCTGTAGATCTACAGCTGTAAGATCGAATCCACGTCACGGAGTGAGCACCCATCGCTTGTCCTAGCTCTCACCAACCTAGCGGTTCGAAAGCATGTAAGTGCAAGTAGATAAATAGGTACCACCTTGGTGAGAAGGTAACAGTGTTCCGTGTCGCACTGGCCATGTGACCATGGAAGATTATCTTCGGACAAACGCTGGCTCTATGGCTTTGAAACGGGGATGAGCACCGCCCCCTAGAGTTGAACACGACTGGACAAAAATTGTGAAGGGGAACCTGGATTCTGTTCATCTGGCATTATTTTGGTACAAAATCCATAGCTAGAGCTTGATTGGGGCTCACACAGACAAGGTAAAAATGATGCTTGTTTTTCTAAAATAGAAATTTACACATCTTTCTTCTGACTAATAAACTTATGCCAACTAATAGTAAATATGGCATGTGCCTTTCTATAGCTCCAGCATTATCTGTGCCTCACTGAAAACACATTACAAAGCAGAGGTCACACCTGCCTTACTACTGCATTCCAAGTTCAGTGTATTTTTTGGATTCTGTTCATCTGGCATTATGATACAGAAAGCATCTGTCACTTCTTAGAGATTAAAATTCTTTGCTTTATTTTTCAGAGTACTGAAGAGAGAAGGAAACAAGAAGACGACAAAGAAAACAATGAAGAGTGTCACAGTCTGGGAGAAGAGTTTTGTCAATGGTTTTTTGGAATGTTGAACTCTCAGAACCCACAGTTTGGACAGCCACTCGAAGAATGGGGGCCACAACACTTTTGGGATGATGTAAAACTGAAGTTTTGTTATAATGCTTCAAAACAAAACATAGAAGAGTATGTGGGTGCTGAATTAGTCAGCCTTCGCTTATTGTCCTTAGTGAAAGAAGAATTCCTTTTCCTGAATCCCAACCTAGATGCTGGTGGTTTAAAGTGTGCAGTTTCAAAATACGGGTTAGTAGTTGTGGCAGTAGCCGGCACAGTTCATAGAAATACTTGCTGTTTGGGCGTATTTGAACAAATTTTTGGACTGATCCGCTGCCCATTTCGGGAGAACACCTGGAAAATTAAAGTTACACAGCTAAACATTGTTGGTCAGAATGCCATGGAACCTGGGACCCAAGTAGAAAGACCTTGTATAAAATATGAGCAGGAAGAACTTCAGGAATTCTGTGTGTCTAAGGAGCTTGCCTTGGTTGAGCCTCAAAAATTCTGAGTACTCTTTGTTTGCAAAACCAAGGGGAGAGTTTGTGATGTTGGAGAAGAAAAGGCACATGAACATACTTGAGCATTCAGTTAAGTTGTCTGCTTGTGTTCCTTGAGTCAGGATTTCTTGTTGGGTGATAAACCAAAGAATTACCTAAATTAGGGATTGGCAGCTGGTGATTGCTGGGCTCACTCTGTTTCCTAAAGTGACTTGATATTCTTGCTTGATAATTGAGAAGAGAAGTGAGCAGATGCTGAGTTCTTTCCATCTTACCACTCATTTTTACCCCACAGTGAGAAAGTGGGGAGGTAGATGAAAGGAAGGGAGCACAGAGAGTGAAAACACAAAGCTGGGGAAATAATATCACTATTTTCTTGCTTGTTAGTGGCTTCCACATCTTCTCTTCAAGGTGAGAGGAATCTGAGAGAAGATGGATCTGTAGCAGCACAGGGTAAATTGTGGCTCTCCAGATGTTGTTGGGGTGCAACTCCCATCAGTCCTAGTCTTCATAGCCAGTGATGAGGGACTGTGGGAGATGCAGCTGAACTGGATCTGGAAGAGCACAAATAGCCCACCTAACCTATGAGGGATGCAATACAACTTCTTGCCAAATATGGTGTAAAAACCCTTGGTTACTGTTTTTGTGAGGTATCTTTTCTTATACAGTTTGTCTTTCACTGTAAAGATGCACCAGTAGTTGGAAAGCCAGCACTAATGCATTAACGCTAGGTAAAAATTATGTTTCTGTTGCTTATTTTTAATATACACTTGTCACTTAACTTTTTTTTTAATGAAGAAACTAGAGTTAAAACTGCTGTTCATTTCAATGCAGTTGGTAACTATATGTAAAGGTTACGTTAAAGAATAGTTATGTAAAATTTCTTGCATATCCTAAATCTCAGGATTGTACAAAACAAAGCATTTTTTATTTGTAAATGGTGGTTTAATTTTTAGGTGATGCTTTAATTTGTAGATAATGCTGTGTTAGCGACTTCTAGAAGCTAGACAAAAGTATTGAAGAGTCTATGGTACAATGAAGTTAAAATCCTATTGGTGGTTGTGTAAATTTTGTTTGCATAACTTGCTGCGGGTAATAACTGGGACATGTCTTAGTTAAGGTTCTTGGTCATCCAGTGCTTAACATGAACACGAGTGGAATTCTGACCAGTATATTTAATTTATGAATAGACTTATAACTGCAGCACTAAACTTTTAGAAGCCTTCATCTTTCAGAAGCTTTGAAACAGATAAATTTCACTCTTCTGCAGTGAAATGTTTTGAAATTGTTTAACTGGCTTCGTTTCATAATTGGTCAGACATAAACCACTTCTTCGTGTGGTAACCCCCCCATAAAATATGTGTAGAAGAAAAGGCCTGATTTTTAAGTGATTCACTTTTTAAAGGTTGGTTCTTCAGTCCCCCGTCCCCCCCAAAATGATAGCATTTGAAAGTTCTGAAGGTCTTGGAATTTTCTGAGCTGTGGGGTTTTTTTAAATTGTTTATCAATGAAAGCTATCCTGCAAACAAAGAAAAATGGCTATATAAACATTATATATATATATATATTGAGAACTTAAAAACATTATTTCATGAATAAGATGGACTTATTTTATTAAGTTGGTACAGTCAACAGATCTGTAATTGTCCTTTGCTACCCTGTCACTCTGGCTTCTAAAAAGGATTGGGCCTAGCTACTAGTTAGGAAAACCATATTCTGTATTGAGGAGGGATAGATAAAGTCATAAGAGTACAGCCATAGGTTCCATCCTTGATATCTCCAAAGAGGGCTTGGGAGAAATCCTGCCTGAAACTCAGGTATGCTATTGCCAACTAGAGTTGGCAGTAGAAGATTATACATTCATCAGTGATCGGTGTCTATATGTTCCTTTCAGCCAACAATAAACTTCGTGACCTCTGTGGTTATCTTAATTCTATTTAAAACTGTTTCTGAAATTTTTAGCCTTTACTAACCATATGGATAAGTTACTTTTGATATACAATATCAAATAATTTAGCATTAATAAATTACCTGGGCAAAACCAGCTTGTGGGCATCCAAGGACATGCTACTCAGATCTTAGTCACTTTTCCAAACCAGACATACATTTAGTAAAATATGCATTTCAAATACTTCATTTATAGCAGCCTGTACATTTGCAAGGAAGATTTAATGTTTGCAGGATTTTGGTGTAGATTATTTGCAGTGTGAATTATTATCTAACAGCATAATAACTTACATACATTGAAAAGACTTGCTGTATATCTAGAATTAACATCTTGCATTTATATAGAAATCTGGAGTGTTCAGAGTGCTTCATGTACATAATCTGCAAAGCATTGCAAAGAAGATCAGTATACCATCCATGGTGGGGTTGGCATGGGGCAAGGCTGAGATGAGATGTCATTAAGAGAACATCTAGTGTTTTCATAGTAGCTTTCAAAGAGGTAGCCATGGTAGTCTGTTTCAGCATGTTGATGGAACTAAAGAGAAATGGAGGGAAAGAACAAAGGACAAAAGATGACATCTTAAAGGCTAATAAATTTGTTTCATTCTGAATTTTTGTAGATTAAAATCCACTTCCTTAGACACATGAAGTGCTTATATTATGCCACCTCTATTTACACATATCCACAGGTTGGTAAGGGTCTTGACCAGGTGAGGGTATGAACAGTAGACAGATAATTAGACACGGGATTTTCAGATTTTTTGAGGTACAAATCCCATAATTTCCAATTCTTGGATTTCCATCTGACAAACCTACACCTTCAGACACCTGAATGTGACTCACTTGGAGTAAAGGCCTAGCTTCATTATAGCTTCCTGGGCAGAAATGAAGTTGCCCCATTGTTACCTGGAAATTTCCTTTCTTGGCAGGAAATTAGGCCTATGCTAAGCTTTGAAGTCTTTCCGGCTAACGTTTTCTCCAGGTGAGCTAGGTTTAGGTGTCTGTAGGTATAGGTTTGTCAGGTGGAACTCCCAGAATGGAGAATTGTAAGATTTATTGTCCAGAAATATTCCTGATGACCATGGATCCTTAACACAATAATTCTTCATTAACATAAGACTGTCAACGTGTTCATTACTTAAAATTTCAGGCCATTGGCAGGGTGCTTAACTATCTGCTAAATAGGTTCGGCTGTCATAGCAACGCAACAGTACTTTCTAGGGCAGTGATCAGAATATAATTTCAAAGGATAATAACTATTTCATATATATATAGAATTTTATAGATCTTTTATCCACATAATGGAAGCATATTTGTACCAGCATTGTTCTTATATTAAAGGGGGTACTTCAGTTTCATAGTTCTTACTTTCTTATACAGAAAGTATGGCTATAAAAATGTTAGGTAAAATATTTGTAGCAGCATGTCAAGCATGTAGGGAAACACCTCTTTAAATGTGCAAAAACTAACTAGTGATTCATTGGAAATACTAGTATACCATACTGTAGGGTTTCATCAGCCGGTAAAAATTGAGAATCTGAACACTAAGGTTTTCTATGCAAGTTTTTTCCTGGTTGTAGGAATTTCTGTGGAATATTGTAATTCCAGTTTCAGTAACGGAGCATATATGAATAGCATGGCTTCTAACCAATGGAACAAATTGTTCATATGAAATCTAATGAACAGTCTAACAACGAAACATAAAAACTATTGTTAATTTTTTTTTCTTTCCTGATTGATAAACTCTGTGAGGAACCTGGTGCCATCTACTGGTATAGGGCTTCACGTTTTTGAAGTACCTATGCTGCTTCCTAAGATATACAAATAAATGTAACAAATCCTAGCAAATTGGTTTGTTCTCAACATAAATGTCTTAATACATTCAAACACTCTATCCAAAAGAACGTAAACCACTAAGATTTGTTGCCTCTTCAGGGTAGTGAAAAGACCAGGGCTGAGGGGGGGGGGGATCGGTAATAGTAATAGCAAAACTCCTTCACACGTGTTTCTATTTTATGCAAAGGCTTCTAATGCAAAGGTTTTGCATAAGCCTCCTTTCTACAGTTTGTTCAGAAAAAAGTCCAAAATTATTCACATGCACAAAAACTCCCATGATTTGCCACAGCTGGGAGAAAACCACTGAAATGTTTTGTTCTCAGCTGTGAAAAGCTGCAATTTTGTATCCTTTTATGTAGGAATAAATTCAGTTAAACCTAATAAGACTTCCTCTTGAGTATCCACTATGGTACTGTGCTGTGAAATATGATTGTTTGAGTGGGACTCTGCCATCTGAAAATTTGATAGAAGTGTCCAAGGCCAAGATTTAATTTATGATGGATTTGGCCTGAGGGCTATGCAGTAAGTCAGTGCTGGATTATAATAAGCAGTGCAGCCTTGACATTTGTCTATGCCTGCTCTGCATTAAGGTAAAAGTTCTTTTTCTTGGGAAGGACACAAACTAGTGTCAGGAGGGCAAGCAGTAGGGCCATTTAGCCTAGACTGCACTTCAGCCTAATGCTTAAAGCTAAATAAAGTAATGCATTCTACAAATAATTAAAGTTTTACAAGCTGTTCTTCAAATTACAATATTTTTATCCCTTTTCCATATCTTGAGGGTGTTCTCACAATGTGAAATGGCCTGGACCTCATCTCTTGGAGGGCCTGCAACCGGGAAATAATAGGGAGCAAGACTTGCTTTACCCCAACAAGAGGCCTTCTGAATGTTTTAGGTTATGGTATCTATCAGGCCAAGGTGATTATATCCATCATTCAGAGTTTATGGGAACTCTTAAAGCCAGAGATCTGCAAGGACTCATGTAAGACTGCCCTAGGTAACGATTGAATGGAATTATGATTTGTAGATTGCAGATACAGTAGTTGGAAAACCTTGCTCATCATTTCTACTGCAATGACTGCCTAGTGATGATGATTTGTGTTCTGGGCAGAACCAATAGATAAGAAAGACTTCTTATCTATTCTGTAGTTATCTAAAAGTATGAGTGGCATACTTCATCTTAGAAATTCCCCAAAATCCACTAACTTGCCAAATTTTGTGGTAGGTATCTTAGCCATTGCAGGTAAAATAGATAGCTTCTGCAGGTAAGGTTCTGCATCCAAAAAGAATCCAAATGCAAGATTTTCCTCTCCTTGAAACTGAAAAGCCAATTCATCAGCTACCACACATGTGATAATGACAGGAAGAGTTTGTGCAGCTGGCTTACATTTGCTGTGCCCAGTAATGCTGGAAGGGGAGGCAGCAACAGCCGATACCCTCAAATACTACTTGCAGGGATGCAAAGGGTTCATGCATATATTATGCATACCCTGTCATTAGAAGATGGACTTTAGTGTTAACAGGGGAAGATTCAGGCAGCACTCTGTTGCAAAACAATTAAACTTGCACAACATGTCTTGCTTACCTCCTGCTAACCTACTATGCAAGCTATTTCGCAAAGCAAGGGAGGTCAGAAAGCCTGCTAAGATCATCAGAAATTCTCAGTATGTAAGGAATTCCATTTTCTAATCATGGTCTGACTATACTATATATTTTGGCTCACAAGTTCTGGCCTGAGGTAGTGTGGCTGAATAGATTTCTCAAGCTTGCATTTGGTAAATGGTGATGCTTTTGCCACCACTGCTGGTTAATGTTGGGATATCAACTTGCCACTTTCATTCTTTCTGGAAACATGTAGAAAAGTGAGGCTGGCTGGACCGACAAACCTATCTTGCCACTTCTTCTACTGACTGATGGTGTGAGGGAATTTGTTCCTTTCATTGACATGCCATTAGTAAGCACAGAGGGACTATAAGATGTGTAATGAGTGGCTTGTAGAAAGAGAAAGTCAAGCCTTAACATGAACCTTTTCAGATATTTTGCCTTACAGCTCCCATAAACTGAATGTTACTTATTCCAGCTTAGTCTGATAGACACTGAAACCCAAAACATCTTGAAGGCCTCATGTTGTGTTGAGCTGGATCAACAACGTCCCCAGGAGTTCAGATGAGGCTTTGAGGCTCCCAAGCAGGAGGCCTATGTAGGAGTGCCGTCCCCCCCGTCGTGGACCCAAAAAACCCAAACCCCTCCCCCTCCTTCACTACCCAGTCGCGAAGACAAGCAGGTGGACATCCACGAGTTGGGGGAGTTGCAGGAAGATAGGGGGCTAAAAGATGTGGGTATAGACACCAGTGACCTGGTACAGACCTTGAAGGGGTTAACCTTGTCATCAGGGCGGGAGAAAGATATGGCGGGAAAAGGGAAGGAGGAGATAGAGGCGGCAGCCAGGGATATAAAAGAAAAATGCGAGGAGATCCCAGGAGGTTGGGAATGGATCTGGTTACAAGATCCGTGGACTGGAAGATGGGAGCAGATGGGGTACCCCATGATGAGGCTGAGAGACGGCGGAAACAAGGTTTGAAACCCCGTCCCTCATATTGGGGAGAAACGGAGGCAAAGGAGTGGAGACGCAAGTTGAGGGAAGAGAGGGAGGCAGTAGCTAAAGAGATTGAACGGAAGAAAGCATGGCATTTGGCGGAGTTGCAGAAGATGGGGGTCTACCTGGGCCATGGATGGCAGATACCGGAGAAGGCTCATCCTTATGGGGGTGGAGAGGCGACGAGGAGACCCTTCCCCTAATCCCTCCAGAAGAAAAGCCTCCAGAAACCCAGATCCCAGTGAAAGGTTTAACTGGACCTTGGACTATGGAGGACAGTAACCCCTTTGTTGGAAGTTTATGGACACCCTTGCGCCCCGGTTTGGGGGAACAAGAGCCTTTGAAAGTTGTTACTCATAACGTTCCAGTTGATGTTGATGTTCAAATAAATGAAGAACCAGTTGGAAAATTTACCACGTCTTGGTCTTTATTGAAAGTGACTGACCCCCTTAATAACGAACCCTCACAGAGGCCCAGACCATCACACTGTGAGGCATCCTCATTGTTTGAGAAGAGGGGTAAAAAAAATTAATATAAAGAATGTCATGGAAAACTTTTGTTTAATT